ATACGAAAAATCGTGGACTAAATATAGACATTGGATTTATGACACATTATAACTGGTCTGACAGCTGACTTCCCAGGTACTTCTCCACTATTCATCCCCCTTCTCTCCCCCTCACCCAGCCTGTCTCTCACCCACTGACTCCTCAATCTACATTTTCACTGACTACCTGTCTTGTATGCATACCAGACCAGCCTCTGGCTTTTTTTATTTTTCATTTCATCCAGGAAGAGCACACACCAACTGCTGAAACTTCCTTAGCCTGATGAAGGGTTTTTGAACCTGAAAGCTTGCTTAAAAATTGTTCTCCAGCTATTTAGTTGCTCTAATAAAAGATATCAGATTCACCCAAAGAACTCTGTCTGCCTATATTAAGTCCATGATTTTTTGTAGCCAGTAGATTTATGAAAAGAAGTTTGTAGCTTATCTATGAAAGGTGTTCTGTAAGTCCCTTTGAGGATTACAACTGAGATCAGAAAGGGAGTGATTGTCTTGTGAGAGGTGGGCACCCACAGGCAATTGGATATTTTTGTCTTTGATGGATTTTTGGTGTGCATTCATTCTGGTACACACTGGTTGTTTGGCTGCTCCTACATGTTGTCCATCAGGGCATTTGGTGCACTGGATGAGATAGATTACATTTCCGGAGGTGCAGGAATGGTAATTGTTCTGTTGTAGGGTGTACTTATTGTGGGACTGGTGGAGATGTGTTGGCAGGTTTTACATTTCTTGTCCTGGCATGGTCTGGATCCATTGGGTGTGGGTTTGGAGGTGTGGGTTTGGGTCATAGGAAGTTTGCTTCTGGTGATGAGGTTAGCAAGGTTCAGTGCTTGTTAAAAGGCTACGATGGATGTTTCTGGAAAGATCTCTTTAAGAATTGGGTCTTTGTCTAGTATGGGTTGCAGCTGTTGGAGGATTTTCCATATAGATTCCAGAGAAGAATGATATGTCATTACTAATTGTGTGTGATTTGTGGGAATTTTCTTTTTTTACTGCAGCAATTCTTTGTGTTGTATTGGCTCTTTCAAAAGTGCGATCTATCTCTTGACTGGTGAGAAGACTAGGTCACCTGTCTTCCCTATTTACATTGATTCTTCCTCTTAAAACATTCTAATATAATAAAAGCCTTAGTCTGTCTGTCTGTCTGTCCATAATGCTCTGAGCCAACTGTGCATGCACTGCTGAGAGGGCGCACACCGATTGGCTGCGAGGGCCTGGAGCATTATAGACAGAAGGAGTGAGGAAGCCGCCATGCCACCCCCTCCACCCCCAACAACAGCTGGCAGGGAGGGGGAGGTGGTGGGGAAGAGGAGAGGAAGGGAGGGAGGGGAGCAGGAAGGGGAAGCGGGGTTTCCGGTGGCAGCCCCTGTCCCCCCGCTGTGCCCCTCACCTCCTTTGCTGCTGCTGCCCAGCCCCAACAACAGCCAGCAGAGAGGGGGGAGGAGGCAGGGAGTGGGGCAAACTGCATGTTGCCAGGTGGCAACTCCCATCCCTCCCCCCCATTCCTGGGGGCCGGTGGCAGCACGGGGTAGAGTGGCAGGGGGTGGGGGAGGCACACGGGGCCACCCACCCTCTCCTCCCCCATCATTCATGATGGGCAATTTGCTAGTGCAGCTTAGAAGACTGTACAATGTCGTAATTACAGCTTTTTGTACCCACAGGAGAACATTAAAACTAAACAAGAGACAGATCTTGTAACACTGGGGCTTTTTACACTCACAAATAGAGTTTTTTAGTTAAAGGACTCTATTTCATCACAAGGCATCACAGAGAGCCCAAGCCCAGCCAAAAAGCATTAGCAAACATTGGCTACATGATACATCATTTCCTGCTGCTGAGCCTCTGTGCCCCATCTGACAACAGGATTTACTGCTAATTCACCCCCATTTCAATTAAATGATCTATGATATAGAACCAGATCTACTGAAGCCCAAACTGCTAGATGGTTTTAGCTGAAGCCCAGGCCAAAAACAAACACAAAAACAAAGAACCCCCCCAAACCCCCCCTCACCAAACAACACCCCCCCAAAACAAGACACCCATATAAAACTCTCATGAACCACCACAAGTGTCAATTATTTGACTTCTGTTTTAATTCTTGCTGGCTCATTGTGTGTACCCAGAAGTTAATGAGAAAAAAAACTGCCAATAGGAAGCATCTTTCCTTATCATATTTCAGGCCACCCTCTAAATACTTTCAAGAACACTGCACACTTCTATAACACACCTTTTAATTTTTACATGTTGTAAAAATGGCTGATAACCTCAAGCAAAATAAAAAAAGATCAGTTGTAATAAAAACTATGTTCCATCTTTCAGTTTATTTCAATTACCTTACGAATTTTCAAGTTCTTGGACTGAGCAAAATGACTCAAATCTTACAGCTTTTAACCAATTCAGTTGGAAACTATGCAGTAGATCATTTGATAGTCAAGTCAGTTAATACCCATAAATACAAGATGTTAATAACTACCATGCATTACAAAAATAACCATCAAGGAGAATGCTATAGTTATTTAACTATTGGCTAATATTCTTCAGACATCTTGTTGTAGTGACACACTGTCCTGGGATTACCACATCTCTTCATGACAATACAGATGAAATTCTTTTCTCCGATTCTAATTTCTGCTGAAGAATGAAACCGCACGATGGCAAAGGGACAAGTCCTCTCTAGTGCCACTGATTGAGCAGGCCAACTGTAAACCGCACCATTTTGCAATCTATGGTGTATGGGAAGCCCCAACATGTCTATGCAGCAAGTCTCTAAATAGGTGCAAGAGTCTTGCAAAACCAGGGCCCACTGAAAAATGCAGCTGAATCAAGTTGGATAGTGGTTTTTTAAGTTAATGCATTTTTAAAAACCCTACCTTGAGTGAATTCCGAGTCGCATACAATTATTTGAAAACAGTGTCATCTACAAAAGCAGTACAGGTCACATCCCCCCTCAAAATGATCAGTGAAAACATTTAATCTGGCTACAACAATATTCACAGAAATTGAAACTAGTGAAGCTGTCAAATGTAAAGGAACAACAGAAACTTGAACAGCATGGGAAGCAAAGTTACCTTACAAAATGTCATTGCCTTTTTTTTTTTTTTTTAAATGAGCAAGTTGGGAGCATCC